GACCAAAGATTTGAAGAGACATTTCTCAAAAGAAGACATACACATGGCAAGTGGGCAAATGAAAATAGCATAAATATCACTGATCATCAGAGAAAGGCAAATCAAAAGTACAATGAAATATCACCTGACCCCAATTAAAATAGCTTATATCCAAAAGACGGGCAATAAAAAATGCTAGTGAGGATGTGGAGAAAACGAAATCCTTATACGATATTGGTGCTAATGTAAATTATTATAACCAATATGAAGAACAGTTTGTAGGTTCCTCAAAATACTGAAAATTGAGCTACTGTGTGATCCAGCAATCCCACTGCTGGGTATATACCCAAAAGAAATGAAATCCGTATATCAAAAAGGTATCTGCACTCCTATGTTTGTTGCCTAGCTTATTTCACTTAATTCAATGATCTACGGTTCCATCCACATTGTTGCAAATGACTGGATCTCATTCTTTTTTATGGCTGAATAGTACTCCACTGTGTCTATGTATCACATTTTCTTTATGCATTCATCTGTTGATGGACACTTAGGTTGCTTCCAAATCTTAGCTATTGTAAATAGTGCTGCAACAAACATGGGAGTGCAGATATCTCTTCCATATACTGATCACCTTTCTTTTGTGTATATACCTAGCAGTGAGATTGCTGAATCATATTGCAGCTCAGTTTTGAGGTTTTTGGAAAAATAAAAGGTCCGGAAGCAACCTAAGTGTCCATCAGCAGATAAGTGGATAAAGAAAATGTGATACATATACACAATGGAATATTATTGAGCCATACAAAAAGAATGAGATCCAGTGATTTCCAACAGTGTGATGGAACTAGAGATCATTATGTTAAGTGAAATAAGCCAGACACAGAAAGACAAACATCGCATATTCTCACTTATGTGTGAGATCTAGAAATAAAAACAATTGAACTCATGGACATAGAGAGAAGAAGGATGGTTATCAGAGGCTGAGAAGGGTAGTGGGGGCCTGGTAGGGAGGTCGGGATAGTTAACGGTTTAAAAAAAACATAGAAAGAATGATTGTGACCTACAATTTGATAGCAACCAAGATGACTATAGTCAATAATAACTTAATTATACATTTTAAAGTAATCAAAGAGTATAACTGTATTTTTTTGTAACTCAAATGATAAATGTTGAGGGGAAGGATACCCCATTCTTCATGATTGACTTGTTCCACATGGCATGCCCATATCAAAACATCTCATGTACCCCATAAATATATACACCTACTATGTCCCCCCAAAAAAATTTAAAAATAAAAATAAGATTATGAAGAGACTATACCAAGAGGGAAACAAGCCCTATCTTCCAAAGCATAGTTATTATTTCACAAGATTTGTTTCATTTATTTATTTATTTATTTTTTATCTCTCCATCTCTCTGCTACACACACACATATACACACACATTCACACAGACACACACAAGATGATAATTTGAGGCAAATAAAACCAAACATAAATTTGGAGATATTGAATTACAGTTTACCATCCAGATTGTCGTGTCTGAAAGAGATTAGAAAATGAAGTATCAATCATCCAACATTGGAAAAAAATTGTAAGCACATATCGTGGAATTTATTGATAATATGTCCTTTAGCTACTACAGATTTTAATGCTGTTTTTAATGTAGGTGAACTGGGAATTTTTAAAATCTTGCTATTTTATAAAAACAGTTAAATCAGAGATAAAATATAATGTATTGCTGCACTAATTTAGAAGGTGTCATGAATACCATGCATAAATTCTTTTCATACAAACTTCACTGAATTATAGCATTTATTTTTGATGTTCTTTTACTCCAAGTGGGAAAATTCTCTTACTTTAAATCACTAATTATGGCAAGTAAATACACTGTAGCTCAGATGTAGGCTCAGCACATTGCTAATGTCTGGGCAAATTATTCCCTGAAGTTAGTAATTAGTAGAAGTAGCTTTAGACTTTTACTCAAATACATGCAACTTCGATTTTAAGATGAGATTTATATTTAATGTTGAAGATTTGTTTGATTAAAAAGACTGGGGAGTCTATTAGGAAAAATAACCAAGACCCTCAGGGAAAGGTACAAGCTTGAACATCTAGATCAGGATAATTAGGGAATTCAAATGAGCCTCAAGCCCTAAGTTAGATTGTATTGCTCCAAAACTTTTATCACTGCCTTCATATTCATCTCTTGACTAGTCATTTTCAATGCATGGAAAAAATTTAGGCACATGTATATATATAAATTATTGAGGACAGTATCCAACTTAAGTACAATACTGTAGGCATGCATTTGAATGTCATATAAGGATTAATATTTTGATTTACTATAAAACAATAAGTTACTGAACTTCTAGAGACCCATCCTAAATAATATGAAGAAGATGCAGTCACTATTTATTGTTCACGTAATAAGTACCTGACACTATGCTAGGAACTATGAGGTGGGTGGTGGGACTTAATGAGTCTGTCAATTGTTTATATATATATATATATATATATATATATATATATATGTGAGTGTGTGTGTGTGTGTGTGTGTGATTACTATTATAATTGTTGAGCATCTGCTATGTGTCAAGCACTATAATGGGCACAACAGACTCAGTAGTATGCAAAACTAACATAAGCTTTGACCCCATGGAGTTTGCAATGTAACAAGGAAAGTAAATGTGAAACTGAATGTTACAAAGTAGAATTCCAGAAGAGCAGGAAAGCTTTCAGGAAGAAAGAATTATTTGAGATGTTTATTAACACATTTTCAGTCTTGTAAACATAAACATGCTATTCTTTATACAAAATCTCACTGTGGACTCACAAGCACAGATAGGGTACACACAGGGATTGTTTTCCCACAGCTGAGATAAACTGACATTCAATATCAGCCACCCTCAGCTAATCTCTTAAATAGACACACATACTTACAGAATGCTTGGACTAAATTAGGCTATGACACAGTGTGAAGACAATTACTTTAACCCCAAATTAATTCGGCAACTTGTTCCCCCTTGGTTCACTTTAATTGTGCTCATTACCAAAAAGCTAAGTATGTGGTCAAGCTGGGCAAAGAAGGTGTTAGAGAACTTCCATGTATTATTGTTTACTTTTCAAGTCTCTAAACCCGAAAATCAAAAAAGGCAGGTGCTATTAATACCATTTTATGGATGAGGACACCGAGACTCATAGTTAATAGCCCACCCAAGATCAAAAATACATAATAAGAGCTATTTCCAAAGCTCAAAGCACAAATCTCTTGGCTATGAACTCTTGTCTCTCTGCTGAGTCAGATTACTTACTATTCATATATACTTTGCATCATTACATAAAAGAAAACTGCTCAGTCTGTGCACTTTAAGCCTTTTAGGTATATTCTATCGAAGACACAAGATCAATTCAAAAATAAAAATTGCATTAAAATTTATAAAGTTGAGATATTTACTTGGTAGTATTCATGACTCAGCAAGTAGTAATGTAATGCATGCTTGTCACAGATACTATTCACTATAAAATCATAAAATAGTGCATTCCTGGGTAAAATTCTACTCCCAGGTCTACAGAGAAAACACCAGTTTAAACTAAGTTCTGCTTGCTCCCATAGAATAAAATAGCCGTGTGTATTTAAATTACAAAAACAGTAGCCTTTCTGTTATGTAAATTTATGTCCTAAATGAGTGTAGTAGATAGTGCATATACCACCACTGATATTTGTGGCTGGGCAACTGGAAACATGTAATCTGCAAATATCTATATTTATATTTATAATATCAAATATCAATAATACAGAAAACCAAACAAGAAGTACAGGTTTACAAAAAAAAAGAAAAAGAAAAAACAGGCCATATGCACAGCTGCAGCTCAATAAAGCACGCTGCTGTCATTTTGTGGTAGATTATACTCTTGCTGTAGCTAAGAACAAGCAACTCTAGAAGATGATTATAGGTGTGCATTCATGCATGAGTGCACATACACATAATTTTGTTTTCTCATTTTTACTGATAATAACAGTAATAATCATTGCAGAAAATTCGGAAACTGAGATTTTAAAAATCTAAAAATTGCACAACCTTTCAGAAGTAAATGCTACTAACTTTTCACCTCATTTCCTTGCAGATCACCAATTATATATCTGATATTTTTCATGTATTTACAGTGATTATTTCCTCACTGCCATCTATTCTTTAGAACGTACTTTAATCACTCTACTATACCTCATTTAACTACTCCCCTTTTAAAGGAGGTTATGAATTTGCCCAGCTACTTTTCTTTTAAATGTCTGCAATTCGATAGTTTGAAACAGTATCTCAGTGATTTACATTTTATTTGTTTGATTACTAGTGAGAGTGAACAAGCTTCTCAATGTTAATTGACTATTTTCATCTCTTTATTAGTTGGTTATTTGAGCATGTTCTTTATTTTATTGAGAACAGTATCTTCTTTCTCTAAAAACAATAACAACAACATAAATTTAAAAGCACATTACTAAGGAAACATATTCATAGCATATTTGGCAAATAAAATAACATGATAGTTTCATGACAACACTTCCAACGTGATAACTTAGAAATGGGAGTTTTTGAAGTTGTTTTAAGCAACAAATGTTGTCTTTCCAAACCTAGCTTCCGGGGCAAAATAATAAGAATGCATTTGAATCCAAAAGATGCAAGAATCATTGTGTCCAACTCCTGTAGACAGACAATATCAGCTACTGAAACCTGACTGATGCATAAAAATTGATTCTTTTTCCTCCTTAATGATTCAGTCTGCTGGGTTTTCACACTCATATTAACATTTAAATATTTCTAAGTCATCCAGAAAGGACTTATGAATCAGAATGTGATCTTTGTACCAGTGATTCACTTAATAAAATTATTTATAACACTACAGAATTAATGTTTTGTAAAAGTATGAAAAAAACCCTTCCTCAGCATATATAAAAATATTTAAATGATATGAAATATTCTATTTTACCATTATTACTTCTATAATAACAGCAAATTTTGCATTTACCTTATTTGACCCTCACAGCAATCCACAGACCTAGAAAGAAGAGGCATTTTCATACTATTTTTGTAAAGAAAGAAAGTGAGGTGCAAAAGACATTGAGTAAAAACCCAAGGTCATATGGTTAATTAGTAACAAGGAAGAGGCTGAACATTTACCCTTCTGTTACTAACTCCTTTACTCCCTTTTCCTTAACACTACTGTCCCACCTTCCACGTAACTATAGCATCATTGTCAGAGTTCTAGATTTCTGTTAATACCCTATTTGGTTTACAGGTGATGTTCAACTACACCTCTCTGTTTACCACCAATCTATGAAAACCATTACTCTTTATTAATACGTGGAAGACAGGAGCTTTCAGTTGAAAGCTTCTTAAGGAAACTAAGAGGGTGGAATGCCCTTTCAAAGAATGTCTGCAAAGGATAAGTCTCTGGGTTAGCCTGATCTATTTTGTACTCTCATTCATCTGTAGCATTATTCATGCAGTTCCCTGTGCCTGGAAGCCTGGAATGAACGCTTTCATTCATTCTTTCTATCTCCTTTCTTGCTTTCCTCTTTCACTCTCTCTCTCTCTCTCTCTCTCTCTCTCTCTCTCTCTCTCTCTGTCTCTCTCTCATCTGTCTCCATCCACCCCATTCTCCAAGGCCCACCTCATATGCCATCAATGTTTCTCATTATCTTCCACAAATGGAATGTGATAATTCTTGCCTCTGAACAAATACTACTAAGTAAACTTATCTTTTATTTCAATCCTATACAAGTTGTTTTACTCCCTTATCTGACTTAAAATGCTTTATGGTTGTGCCTCACATATAAAAGTGTTCAATATCATTAAGAAAAATAATGTACAGATACACATCTGAGGAGGTACTGGCATAGACAATTGATATAGGCCTACGAGCCTCTAAAATGGGTTAGTGTTACAGAACCAGAACTACCCATGAGTATTAAAGTACACCCTACATTCCTAATGGTAGTATGTAGCTGAGAACAACCTCCAAAGACGTGAATAATTCGCACTGGGGCCCTTCAGAACCTGATTATGCTTCCAAAATGCATCCAGCTTTGACTTTAATGATGACTTCAATTATTATTTCTCTAAATTCAGTGATAGCAATGTGTGTTATCGTCTCCTTCTAATTGTAGCTTTCTGCCTGTTTGAATACGTCCCACAGCATAAGTTATGCATATTTCAGCAATAGAAGCAAAAAACACTTGTGCCCAAATGACATTCGGGACTGACTTCCCAATCTGCTCCAGGATTTGCTCTACGTGATGTTTCCCTAACATAGATCTTCCAAACTGAACAGCTTCAATCTCTGTTAGTACATAGTGCTGGAGTTGTAAATAACTGCTCAAAAGTCAATTGTGCTGTGATCAAGACCCCAAGCAAGAAATTATGTATAAAGAAAATATTTCTTCTCCTTCCTAGGCCTGTTAATTCATCTGCAAAAGGAAGACATTATAAGATAGGAGGGGTTTCCAAGTCTTACTGTGCAGAATCACTTGGGAAGTTTTTATTTTTATAAAAAATACAGTTTTTTATCCTCATCCCAGTACCATAGAATGAAAATTTCCAGGGATCATTCTAATATATCTAGTCCATAGATCCCTGTGAGATACAATAGATTAAATGGTCCTATGGTCTCAGGCATCACTAGAGTTTTATAATCCATGAATATTTATGAAGTCCAAATGATAATAGGAAAATGCTTTTTTAGTCCATCTAGACCCATCAAACAAGGCAAAGAATGCTCATTTGAGTATCAGGAGACTTGGAATAAATTGTGACTTTTTCATGACTTTGTAAACTCAGACAAGTCCTTTCTTCTTGTGGCTTCAGTTTTCTCATCTATAAAATAAAATAATTGGATCAAAGCATAATCTAATCTGTGATGCCTTGCAAGTTGTGCCTGTAGAAGTTCAAATAAGACAAATGAGGATAAGACTAACACAAAGACTTATGCCACCAGGGGAAGGACTGTTGACTGTCTCACACGGATACATTCATTATCATGATGCCAAGGCCTGAGATCTACTCTGCAGTCTTTTTGACTCAGTGATCTAAGTTATCAGCACTCAGAGAGTGGGTAGATTCACATTGTGCTGGCTCACAAGACTGATCAGAAATACAAATAATTAATTGCAGTGAAAAACAGGACTGTGATAATAACTAGGCACTGTAGATGAGGCATCTTTTTTTCTATAGACTTTCCCTGTGTAAAAGATAGAGCATAGAAAGCTACCTATAGTGAAAATGCCAGGAACTTAATTATAATGAAAACAACATATAACTGAAAGAGAAATAGGCCATCAATTACTTTGGTGAGAGCAGTCTCTTTTTGAAAGTAAGATCTACCTGGGAAGACCCATAACAGGCAGTCCTCTTCTGGTGAGCCATAACAAAAAAAGAGCCATAACAAAGGGAGTTAGATGAATTAACAGAAAAAAAAATGCGAGTACATCTCTTACTGTTTTGATTTCAACTCTCTTTAGCCTTTCCAAAATTAGCTCAGAAACTTCCACAAACCTAGACTTGCAGGAAGTATTCAACATGGATCTGCCTTTCAGAAGCTGAAAAAGACAAATAGGGCAGCAATGAGGTAGGGTGAAGTAGTAATGAGAAATAAGTTTAAGGATAAATCATGGAGAACTCCAAATTCCATAACAATGAGTATAGACAGAATTTGTAGGTCTGAAGAGCTATAGGACATCAAATTTCAGTTAAGTGGCATGTCTGACGTAGAGCTGAGTCAGAGTCAATTGATGATATCTTGAAAAGTTAGAATGAATATTGAACACTATCCAGTATATGGCTACTGATTAGAGCATTCAAAGGTGTTCATGTGATATTCTGTCAAAGTTTTGTAGCAACATATAGTATTTTAAAAAGGATAGATGTCAGGAGTGAGTATAATTCAAAGAGCGATCTCAATTTCAAGTTAAGTAAAATATTAATGTACATGTTAACTTAGTGAACTCCCACCGGACAGAAAATGGAATCATTTCAGCAATAATAACTTCAATGGTCAAAAACACATCACGTGTATAAAAATAAATAAATTCAGAATGATAAAAACTTACTAGATACCATTGGAAGTTGTTCAGGCATCAACCCATTTTTCTGAAATCTGATGAAGAAGTGGAAAACTTAAGTATTCATCTTCCCTTTCCAGATGAAGTGTATTTTAAGATAAGTTAATAATTAAGGAGAGAAAGTTATTCTTTATTGAATTGATAGATTCAAAAGGAATGATAGAATGAGAAAATCTCCATTTTGTATCCCCTAAAGGCATAATGTACCTTCACAACAATAATCAATTAATTCTAAAAACCTTAGTTGAAGTGTTGGTGAGAAATTTGATGATGGAATGGTTAGGTTGGCATCATCTGAACCCACAATGACAGTTTGCATTACTGGAAGTAGGACAATCAGACATTATGTGCCTCCAATGTAATGTAATGGAAAGTACACACCACCACTCACTAAATATTCTTGCCTAAAATTGGACCAAAATACAATTAAGGCTCTAGAGCTACACACAATTTTATGGGAAATACCAGAAAAAGAGGAATACATTAAATGAGGTCATGAGGAAACAATCTGAAATTAAGAATGTGGGATGGTCTATAGGACAAATGATCTGGTTTCTCTCTCAATCAATTGCATGATCTGAGAGATATTTGAGTATAGATGATATCAGATGGTGTTAAAGAATTTAATTAATTTTCTCAGGATAATGAGTTAATGTTATTAAGTATGATAATGACATGGTGATATGTAAAATATATTTAAAGCATTATATCAGAGATGTATATTTAAGTATTTTCTGGTAAAACAACATAATGCTGTAATCTTTTATGAACCTCTCTCAAATAAAATTAAAAAGAGTAGTTGGGCAATAGAAGGCTCTAGATTCCAAAGTAATGATGGTTGTTGAATGTATGTGATGGATAGATCGTAACTAATTACTGTTCTCTTTACTTTTGTGTGCATTCAAACATTTGCATAATAAAATGGTTTTTAAAGTTACTGAATATGAGTACAGATGCAGATATTGATCTGACTAGAGCAGAACAGGTAGACAACACCTGTCCAAGAGATACTACAGATTAGCAAATCAGAGATGCCCCTTCTAAAAGTTTTAATGCCATGCAAAACTTCCTCTAACATATCACTTATCACTCTATATAAAACTTACCTACTTAAATGCCAGTTTCCATATATTATGTGCTACTTATTCTTTAGTTTTTGCTATAGATTGATTATCTATTTCCATGTTGTACTATTTTCCAGGAATCTGGCTTGCTTGGGCTTCTTTTCCCTCTGGCTTCCAACTAGATTTGGCCAAAGGAAAATACTGAAAAGATATTTGAGGATGGGAGGAGAGAATGAAGTACTAATTTCTTTGTTTCCTTCCTTTATAGGCTGCAAGTTGTCTGGGCTGATTTTTCTATCTATTAATAGCTCCCGTGGTCAAAACTTTCATACAGATAGAACTTTCACTGCAGGTTCCAGAAAGTATTTTCTCCCCTTGACCCTTTAGGCCTAGGAATAGTAGTAACTTTTGAGTATGCCATCTGTTTTTTGCTAAGACCCTGACTGATAAAGACTATAAGCTTCATTAAAGCTTACAAATTGTCTCACTCTCTTTGGTACATTGTGATACCTACAATATATGGCTGCCTGGCATCTAGGAGACAAAAATAAATAATAGTTAAAAGAAAAGAAAAATAGAAGGATATGGATAAAATCCAACATCAATTTCTGATTTAAAAAACATAACTGAGAAATAGAAAAATACATGCTTATTGTGTTCTTTTAAAAAGATTCCATTCATTAGTCAGTTTCATGTTAAAATTGAAAAATTAGCCACAATTTTATTTAAAATGTCATGAAGAAGATAAAAAGATATGACATAAAAGTCAAAAAGAGTGTTTATAAATTATCATTGTTTTCAAGTCATGTATTTATACCCTGATAAAATCTTAGTAAAACAATATCAACTTTTCCAAATAAATAAATAAGTGCAATGCAAGTCTATTTTACAAATTGACAAAATTATTCTAAAGTT